TCCTTCTTTGCTTGTTTACCGACACTTTTGGATGAAGAAGCTCGCGGTACACGATTGAAAAGCTCGTTTGCAAAATATTCCGTTTCAGCTGTTGAGCTGAGTCCGACGTGAGTTAGGGATGTGATGAGTCCACTTGGAGTAGTAGCAGTACTTGCTGTCTTGATCATGTAATCTACCATCGCACTATCTGACATCTCGAACAATCGCAAGATGCTATCGCTGACCCATTGTCGCAGTTTCGATGAGCTCATATTGCCTAAACAGCTGAGCAGCTTACTAAAGATGAGTGGAAAGGCTTAGACGATGAAGGTTAGGGGTACACAAACATTAAAAACCCGTATCAAAACCCAAATGAAAAACCCGTCCCGACCCATTTGATTTTCAACCCTTTTTGGACGGGTTTTTCAATTGGGTATCCGTAGAGATGTTTGAGACCCCAGCCCACCCATCCAGACTCCCAACTCCTCGAAAATGCCTAGACTCTCAGTCCGCAGGCATATCCTATCATCCCTTGACACCTTTATTGTGGTGTTCTCTCTTTTTCAATCTACCACAAGCCCAACTTCACCAACTTCATCAAATTTCATTTCAAACTTGATTGCCTGTTTACTCCTTGTATCCTCCATCAATTCCGGTAATGACGATCAATCAGATGAAGACCAACATCTAGGACATCAAGAACGGATCATCATGCTCACTTTTACAATCTTGATGGTGTCTAACTTTCACCAGAGTGCCTACCTGGATCGACGGAAGCGAAAGCGAGAAGAGGATGAGATAATCCTTGCAGCTCTCTTGTTAGCACGAGATGAAGCCCGATCAAGAAGGTACCTTCTTCCTAGATATCGTAGACCTCGGGGTAGCTCAAAGGCTGCCACTTTTCAAGCGTGGTTTGATGAGACCAATCGAACTTGGCTAGCTGTGGTAAGCTCAAAATATTTCATCCTTACTTTTTATTGACTATATATTAGACTGATCATCATCGTTTCACTATTGTGTTAGGCACGCATGTCCAAAGCCGACTTTACAAAGTTACTTCACCGGATCGCGCCCTCTCAGGTCTTTCAAAACAATTCGTATTGCCCTCAGGCTCCACCCCAGTGGCAGTTATTGGTAGCTTTAGCCAATTTGGGCTTATCAGGAAATGGCGGCTCGACACCAATGAAAGCCAAGTTGTTCGCTTTGGCAGGTAAGTCAAATCTGGCTTTTTGCTGGAATTGTCATGCTAAAACTGTGTTCAACGTTTGCAAGAAGGAAGTGTAGAGAACTACACTAAACGGTGCATCACTGCCATACTCGAGCTTGAGTCGGAATACGTCCAATGGCCAAATGGAGATGAACGATCAGCAATTAAGCAAAGAATTGGCCAAACTTCGTTTTTTCAAGATTGTGTAGGGTTTATTGACGGAACGTTGGTTCCTTTGGCTGCAGCACCCTCAAAAAATAAAGAAGACTATTATACTCGAAAGTCAATTTATGCGTTGAACTCACTTATTATATGTGATGATCGGCGAAGAGTGCTTTATGCACAACACGGTTGGTGTGGAAGCGCACATGACCAACGTGTATTAAAGTCCACTCAAGTACGTATCTCATTTTCTAGAAGTTAAAGTCTACTTGAATACACGGCTGATATCATAAATTTATTTTCATTAAATACATCAAAGTTCTTTCGGGATATGCCATCGTTCTTTTCACAGGGGGAGTACATCCTAGCTGATTCAGGGTATGCTTCTTCGGAACATATAGTGCCTGTTTTCAAACGTCCACGGTATCAATCACTTACCGCAGCTCAAAACCACTTCAACAACTCAATATCAAAATTAAGAATTGCTTCAGAGCATTGTAACGGAATGCTACAGATGCGTTTTGGGTCTCTTCACGAGTTGAGATTATGTATCAACACCTCAAAGGATGCTATGCATGCATGTAGGTGGATTGGCGCTTGTGTTGTGGTACATAATTTTATCATAACCGAAGGAACACCAATGTATGGAATGGTTGGAGGTGGTGTGTTTGAACATTCACGTGACTCTTTGGATTTAGATACTCCCGATTTCCCCTCATGTGGTGGCCTGCGCCGTGATGCTTTGTTCAGAAGTTTTTGTGAATCAAAAAATTATTAATCCTTTCCAATTGATTCGATTCGCTTGTGGTTTTCTACATTTCATTGACTTATATCTTTCTGTACTCAGATTGGTCTTTGTATCTTTAACACATGAAACTTTCACCTTCTTCGCTTTTAATTGCAATATAGTGAGGACAACCGTTCTCGATTTGATAAACTTTGAACATAAAACCACACACAATTTTCGTTAATTTTGTAAAAGGTTTATGAGGTCAAATCAGAGGAATACAACAAGTATTTGGAACTTCTTGAAAACATCATTTTTGGAACTTCTTGAAAACATCAGAAAACATTGTAAATTTATTTTTGGTCTTTTTTTAAAGAAACGACAAATACTTCGAGTTTTTGAGTTTTTGGGAAACCTTCATAAAGATTTCAGCTACACTTAACTTCAGTTGTTTGTAAACAACTCAGATGACTCGGTTCCAGAAGTTCCAGGATTGGAAATCCTGGAACTTTGAGGAACCTCAATATCAGGTAATTGGCGCAAAGCAAAGGCTTCCGCTTCAACTGGGTTCATTTTTTCACGTATGAGGTCCATTACCATTTGGCTGCAAGCGAGTCTATTCTTCATATTCATCTCTTCAATCTTCAATTTGAAATCTGCAAAAGCGAGGTTTTCCTTTGTAGCTAATTCATTGGCTCGAGTCGTGGTGATGATTTGTGCCATGGCTTTAGTGATGTTCGAGGTCATTTTCTCCTGGTTAGCTGCAGCCCGGCGCTCACTCGCCTCTCGTTCTTCTTTAGTCGGTAAAATGCTGACGAGAGAATTGATTCCGAGAATATCTTGAGGCGACTCGTGTGGTTTGGACTGGACAGACATGGTGGTATCTTTACCGGTGACTCGACGACGCTTAGTAGAAGAAGTTGTAGGAGAAGGATCCCGTTTGAATTTGAGGTTCAGGATGGACGACTGACGAGTGAGCGAAACATTTGGGGCCGCGGAGTTGGAAGTTTGCGAAGCGGATGTTTCTTCGTCAAAACTGAGATCCATAGACAGGTTGCGACGTGAGAGTGTACAAGGTGGAGTCTTTTCCCAAGGTTCGTGGGGCAGGGAGCTGTCAGACGCAGTTGGGGAGCAATCTTTATCAATATCGGTGAGAGAAGTTGATTGGTTCTTGTCTTTCTCGCCTAAAGAATCCCTCAAGGCCAACGGGCGGGCAGACGGTCGATCTCCAAATACGGGCTCGAGTTCTTCGTACCAAGGACAAATCCGTAACATTCTCACTGTTTAAATACAGTCAGTGAGTTGAAATCAATCACAAAGTGTGAAGTCCTGTACATACCTTGAAGACTGCCAGTATCATCTTCTTTCTTACAGCCCCCTCGCCTCTTAGCCAACTTGAATACCATGAGATCGTCCTGTGGGACCGTAAACACAACTGATTCACCGTCGCGAATGCCCTCGCCAGTCGCATTTCTCAAATCATCAGCCTTTTTAAACCAAGTCTCTAACAATTTGACCTAAATAATGAAACAACCGGTTAGAGAAGTTTACATTTTTCTTATATAGACCATCAGGATACTAACTTTCTTTTCGCACTCTCGACCTGATCTATTTCCATGATTTTTCTTTGCAATAAATGCTGCCACCCTCTCACGAATCACCACCTGCTTTTGGGTGCGCCAAGAATTGAAGTTCTCATAGATGCTGCACCATTCAGCCACAATATCCATATCGGACTTGTTGTCATCACTTTGAGGTGTAAACCAACATTTCGAGGTGCTGATGTCCGCCTCTTCGTTTTCTTCATTTCGAGATGTTTCGATTCCAGATTCATCTTGAGTTTGAACATCTTGAGTTTTAATTTGAGTTTCCATTTGATTATCGATTTGAGAATCAACCTGAGTTTCACGATCAGAAGCGTCTTGATTCGGACGAAGAGATTTTGATTGTTGGGGAGCTGATTGCTTGCGAGGGCGTCCTCGTGGCTTTTTAGGAGCGGGAGGAGCACTCATGAGGTGTGTAGGTTGGTTGGTTGATTGTGAAACAACGAGAGAAGACGTGACTGGATTGATTTGGGCAAGCCGCACCCAGTCCGGTGGGGAAAGATTTGGAACCGGAAGATATGTCGAGGCTAAAGTTGTGGGAGTTCCGACCGTGTTTGCTTCGATAGCAATCAACGGTGCTTGAACCAAGTTGGCCGGAGTTGATGCAGGTGTGGTTTGAGGGGAGATCTGCATATGTTGGTGTTGAGAAGTATTTGAATCCATGCATAAATTAAATTCAGTCAGATGGGTGTTCATTTTCACCCAAATCAAAAAACCCGTCCAAAAAAGATTGAAAATCAAATGGGTCGGGACGGGTTTTTCATTTGGGTTTTGATACGGGTTTTTAATGTTTGTGTACCCCTGTTGTTTTTGTTGTGACGATATAAATAAAAGTAGTTTGATCGGTTGGTAACCTGAGTTTCAGTCAGAAACAGCACATCGGCTTATCTAGAAACTACAGTTCAAAATACAGTGTTTTTAGGTGTGCCCAATTGTACGAAACAGAGTTTATTTACACAGTTTTCATGGTCAACACATTTTGTATGAAGACTGTTTCCATGTAGGTAAACGGACGATCGCAAAATTCTCGCGCCCCATAGGGTAGGATAGGATAGGATAGGATCCTAGGATCCGTCTTTTTGCCTTCTCTTTTTGTCTCGTCTCTTTCTTTGTCTTGGTTTTGCTAAATTTACCTCAAGAATCTACTGTGAAAGTGTCTTCTCACCCAGAACACGTCTCTTTGTCTGGACTGTCAGGAAAATCTCACTTTTGTCCAAGTATTCCTTGAGAATGAGAATTTATCTTCTTATGAGCAGATTACGAGCTCGTCGCGCACTATTCAGAAATATTAGAAGAGCTCTGGTCAATTATTTGTATAAGTTTCAATCAGCGATGAAAGTTCGTATCATGGATGGTATCAATTTGGCAGGTCTCTACATTTTTCGAAGGTTGATAGAATCTTAAAATTAGCAGGTTGGGTACCGACCCATACAGCATTGATGATTGATGTCCAAGAAATATATACAACGTAACAATATATGCATAATACCTCTTGGAAACAAAACCGTTCAAGTCCGTTCATCTGCTCCCACATATCCTATGTAGGCTTTGAGCCTCCTTGCTTCGAGTGACTCAAAACCTTTGACCGCTCTGACTACATCCAAACATTCTTTTGCGACCTGACTCGCTTTTATAGAATCCTCCATACCATAATGATAGATGTTTGCCATTGCTCCCATTATCGTCCCTCGCTCTTCACTTAGTCTTTCGTCAT